AATGAAAGATGTAGGGATTCTATCTTTTGCACTTTATCTGTTCTAATATGTGGTTTGGGTTGAAATATATGAAGAAAATATAGAAGAAAGAACCTTAATACTCTTTTCAGATTATTATGGCTATTCTTTTGATCCTCACAAAAGCTCAGCAACTGGTAATTTCTCAAAGGTCAGCTGCAGTGTTGAATCTGAAAACATTCTAAGGACCTTCTTCAGACTCTGTTAGGTATGAATTTCTGAGTCTGTGTTACTCTTTGAAATAAAACTTGTACCATCCTTTTGTGCCCACATGCACTAGTCTTTTGGAAAGTCTTAGCTCACTGAGTTGTGCTGATCCTTACAAACGCTGACATGTTTCATTACAATATCAAAATCACATTTGTCAGTATCACCACAATCCTAGCGGAGAAGCGTCTAGCAATTGGGAGGCTCATGAGCAAGTTTCTTCCCCCAAATTATAATTTTTACTTGAAAGCTTGAGTCTTATCGTTGGCAACACATTCTGCCAATTATTTTTCTTAAAGTGACAGACTAACTTTGTTCTTTTTTAAAGAAAATGTCTGCCAAATATCCAAGTCTGAGCGACCCTAGTTTGTCTGTGGCTGGCTCTTTCAAGTAGAACTTGTATCCCATTTTTTAAAAGTGGCTAATTCAACTTGTAACTTAATCATATAAGTACTTTTCCTAGAGGTGACCATACACACCTCTGTGTTCAGCAGAAGACCTTTATGCAAACGTTCCCATTTCATTACAGACAGTGTTCAAAAGAATGTGTACTCAGCTCCAATATTTAATGAAATTGATCATTTTTATTGTCTCAACAAGAACAATCTGAAGTGAAACCGACAGTTTCTTTCTCTGCATGTTTGAATATAGGAAGAATATAATGGCTAAAAAAAATATGACAAAGAATTTTTAAAAAAATTTCTGGGATGAGGAATGCAATAGTTTGGTGCCACTGCCTTGATTCACACTAAGGCGCCAACAACTTTCTTTACTCACTGGGTGCTTTTGCACCTTCAGCACAAATATCAACTAGTAAAAAAGCAAATAATGTTTTGATTTTATTTTAAAAATAGCTTTGACCTCATGGATTCCTAAAAACACCTTAGGGATCTGCGGGGCTTCTGAAGATCCTACTTGGAGAACCGCTGGTTTGTGTGCCTCAGAGGTCAGGAGGGACGCGGCGCTGGTGGCTGGGGCAGGGGAGAGGGGGACTGGATATCACAGTCTGCATGAGAATATTGACTGAATCCAGTGCTGTCACTGTGAAAATGAGGAAATGGGAGCACAGAATTGGGTGCAGTTTGTCCCATGTCATCTAGCTGAACCGTGGTGGCGTCAGGGCTCTCCCCAGCCTCCTCGCGACAGTCACTCGCATGGTTTGTCCCACGTCATCTAGCTGAACGTGGAGGAGTCAGGGTTCTCCCCCAGGCCTCCTCTCGCCTCTCGCTCAGGGATGCTGTGAGCCTCTAGGTGAGGTCTCTCACCTAAGTTCCTAACTTCTCTTCTAAGTATTTAGCTCCCGTGTTTGCTTGGCACAGTGCTGGGTACTAAGGATGTGAGATCAAATGGCGTTTTCATGATCTTCAGATCTAGGGAGCAGGCAGATAAATCAAAGGTGACATGCATGGTCAATAAGAAGACAGGGGACACTTGACAGACACAGCGTGTGGCTCACAATGACCTAATCAGCTAGGTGATTCCTAGGCTGATCTGGGAAGGAAGAATAAAGTTAGCCAGGTAAGAGGAAGTGAGAGCTGTCTCCATGGAGGCAGAGTCCCTGAGTGGCAGAGGGAGAGGCTGTGAGAAGCTGGAAGAAGGGATACCAGGCGAGATGGCTGGTGGAGAGCAGAAGGGCAGGGCAGGTTGCAGAGGGCTGGACCTGTCAGCCTCAGAAGTCTAGGCTTTATCAGGAAAGCTGCAGGGAGCTGGAGGGCCCACTGCAGGGCAGGCTGGAAAGACAGCCTGGTGTTCTTTCTCTGGGTTCTAGATGGTCATGATACCAGGACAAACCCTGCACCTGCCCAGGCCTCTCTTTCCCCAGCCACACCAGAAGTCACACAGTTACAGGCAAGTTTATGCTCCAAGTCCCTCACCTGCTGTGAGAGAGCTGGTAAAGAAACCATTTCCTATGGCTTAAATTGATCCCTTTTTTTGGCTTGAAACATGGTGCAAAGTGCTATTTATTTTTCCTGTGGTCTTTCTAGTTCATTCTGGACCCTGAGAAACCATAACGTCTGCATCAGTTTGAACAATGTATGCGTCATCATTTGTAATCTCTTGCCTCGCCAGACTGAACCTAGAAAGTGTTTCTGAGCAGTGGTTTCCAAACCTGGAGAGGCATCTGAGGCAAGTGGTTAAAAAAATACAGATTTTCAGACACTGCCTCCTGGGGCTCAGGAATCTGTAAATTTATTTTGCTCCCCAAGTTATTCTGATATAGGTAGCTGGCCCTGATTTGCTGCCCAGATATTTTGGGTATATCACTAGTTGAACTAGCTAAAGAGGACCTCACACTGAATGCTTCACGATGACAATTCAACATGGATCAGTCAGTCTCCAGCCTAAGTGTCCGTGCAACGCCGATGTGCCCCTGGCGTTTCTCGTGTTACGCGACATGTATTCCTCTTTCTGTGAGCGGGAACATCCAACTCTTAACTGGTTTCCTGCATTCATTGATTTTGCAGCTCCCAATATCTTCAAAATATTTTTTCTAACAGTTATTTTTCTCTTATTCTCAACTTTTTATCAGAGATTTTGTTATCTCATTGGTAGATGTCAATAGTTTTATTATTTTTTAAATTCTTGGGGAACATACTGTTTACCAAAGCAGTTGGAATGAGTAGATATTTGCAGGTGTGCACTGATTGGGAAATGTTACATGGAGAGCACGGAGATCAGTAAATGAGGCTGGAAATCCCTGTGTGATGGTGACAGTCTGAGCACATCTGGCATCGCAGCAACAAACCCAGATAAATATTATCATTCAGCCTACAGGAGAGGACAGCCTGCCAGACTCAGGCATCAAAGGGCTGGGGACTGCCACAGTTTGTCACGTTTCTGAGGGTCCTGGAGATTGCTAATCCTTTCTGGGGTCCTCAGAAGGCGCTGTGCCAGCAAGTCGAGTTTAAGCTGGGATCTTCCCTTTTTGTTTCTTTTTTGCTCATAGGTGCATGAGGAGGACACATGTTTTTAGACAGACCTACAAGCCTGGGATGTGAATGAGAGGCACACCCTGGGGGGGAGTGGGGGTACACGGCACCCCTCATTCACCCAGGCCCCATGCTGCTCCTCTGAACAATTGCATCTGATGAGGATTAGAAACCACTGTTGTAGATGTGACCCAAACAGGGAGTTTTACAGGCAGAGAGAAATTCAGAGAGCTTCTGGTCCAGGCCCCTCAACTGCGGGCACAAAGGCCCCTGGAGCTGTCAGAATCCTGGGTGCATGTGCACATCTCAGACAGGGAGGGATGGCTGAGGAAACCCATTTCACCCCACTTGATTCATTTTACAGATAAAGAGATCAAGGCCCAGAGAGGAAAAGTGATTTTCCTTCAGAGTTGATCTGTGTCAGAGATGGGCTCAGAACTAGTATCTCTTAGCCAGTCACCTCCCAGCTCACCCCTCCTGTTCCCACAGTTGTGGCAGCAGTCCCCCCTTGGATCTGCATGTGGTTCTCATTTTCTCCAGCTATTTCACTGTTGTTTTTCACACAGGCAGGGGAGACGATAATAATTACCCCATTTTATAGGAATGAAGATGAAGTTCATAAAGATAAAGGCATATTTATCCTGGGGGGAAACTAGAAATGAATAAGAGTATTCAGATATTGGAAGGTTAGGTGTCTAGAGTGGAGCCCAACCCGGTCTGCAGGGAGAGCAATCCAGGGGCACAGCCCAGGATCAGTGCGGGTTTGAGCCCAGAGCCCAGATCCTTCCCTTGTCAGCCAGGCAATCTCGGCATGACATCTAACCTCTTTGAGCCTCAGGTTCTTCAGCAGTGAAAGGGTGATAGGAATAATTTGTCATCTCTTGGGCCAAAAATACATGCTCTATATAGAATGTGCTTATGAGGGCTCAGAAGTAGGCTTCATTTCATATAGGAAAGGATTTTCTACCAAAGAAAGCAGTCTGGAAGGTGCTGCCTGGCAGAAGAGTGAGCTTCTTGTCACTGGAAGCATTCAAGAAACTGAAGACTGGCAGTCAGAGAAAGTATAGGGAGAGAAATTGCACAACCAGGAAATTCCTCACCTCTCAGAATTCCAACATTCTGTGGCTCATTCTGGGATAAGCTTGAGTGTTCTGTATACATCTCTCTTATTCAAAATGCTCTCTGCTGCCTGAGAGCCTGTTCTCTCTGGCTGGAGACTTTTCTTTGCCTGCCCATCTTTCAGTCTCAGTTCAGCCTCCCTCTCCCCCAGTTGACTGAATACCAACTACGGTTTAATGAATCACACAAGGGCCAAGCCAAGAGTGCAAGTCTTCTGACTCCTAGGCTAAGCCTCTTTTCACCGGGTTAGTAGTTGTTGCAAGACCAAAATCCATCAGAAACTTCTACAACACAGCCACTGTTGTAAAACAGTGAAAAGCTCAAGTGGCTGAGAGCCACTTAGAGAAGGAGGCTCCACGATCACTGAGTTCCAAGTTCACAACTATATGCTGAGTTCTTGATGTGCACTAAGAACAGCACCACTTGCTGGAGATTTGAAGATAACAAAGTAAGTCACAGTGCTCAATCTCTAGGAGCCCAGTCTAGAGGCAAGACCAATATCTAAGTAGGGATATAAATAGGGGAAAGGCGTGGGCTATTCTGAGTACTCGAGAAGGGGGCTCTGGGCGTACGCCAGGAACCAGGGAAGCCTTTTTGGAGCTGACTCAAATGCTGCAGAGTTTCTCTTGCCTTCTGATCAGGAGTATTCTTGCCGCATCGTATGGTGCTAAGTCAGTGGACGTATTCTTAGGGCAAAGCTCCCATTGACTACAATTTATCTTCCAGAGCTGCCACGGAAGTGCAAGATGCTTTCATGACTTACACCGTGTATGATGATGCCATCACCATTAAGCTCATCCACGAGGCCTGCAAGATTCTGGGTGAGCAGACGGGGCTTGTGTTTTTTTCCTTAGGGCTGCCTAAGTTGGTTTTTAGTATTCACGGTAGTTGTGTTCTATAAAGTTGCTCTAAACACTGAGTTAGTGAATACTGAACCATTACTCCATGTAGAAATACAGGGTGCGGTTTCTAAGAGTGTCCAATCACAAAGATGCGAATCTTTGTCAACCAGTTGATGTACAGCCTTGTTTTACGTGTGCAGCCATTGAAGGACGCCAAATTTGACATATGTAGTTGACTCATCAACATCAAATTCCGGGTCGACAGCACTGTAAGTCACCCCTGGATGGACATGTGTATTTTCTCTGTGAGGCATGTCATGGCCTTCTGGTGCTTAGGGGCACTAGACAGCACTATGCTTGGGGCCGTTTTAACCACTCCCCCCTTTCCACCCCTGAAAAGCAAACCCACCAACAAAAAGCACAAAAATGTGAAAAACATGACATGTAATAGTCAGGACGCTGGTTAATTTTATGAGAACTAAAAAAAGGATGTTGAGCATGGCCTTGTTTAGCCTTAGCTAGGAGCGTTTATGTTGGGAAATGCAGAGTTTTCATCATTTTGCCCAAGTCTATAAATGACCTTGACATCTCCATGAGTATTGATTTGGGGGCTACTGATAAATCTTAGCAAGTGGGTAAGTTAGTGAATATGGAATCCTCAAATAGCAAAGATCAACTCTATCACAAAATGGATGGTTTAAAACAACAAAAATTCTTCTCTCATAGTTCAAGCCCTCAAAATCCAGTTGGTGGCAGGACCTTGCTCTTGGGCAGAACCCTTCCTTTTCTCTCCTGGCTTTTGGTGGCCCCACTGTTCCTCATTCATGGCGGCATCATTCTAGTTTCTATCTCTGTCTCCATGTGGCTGTCTCCTCTATGTCTGCCTCTCTGTGTCTAAATCTACATTTTTTCTTAAAGACACCAAGGACATAGGATTTAGGGTTCACCCTAAATGACTTCATCTTAACTTTGTTACATCTGCAAAGTTTCAATATCCAAATAAGGCTACATTCACAATTTCCTGGTAACTATGGATTTTCTAGGATACCATGCAACATGTAACCCAGTACAGGGCTCCTGTGTGATAGCTGTGGGCTTCTTAGAAGACAAAAGGATGGTCACTACTGTCTACACCACCGCCATCACATTTGGCCTTGATATTAGCCTTACAGTGTTGCAATGCCTTTGAAGTTGTTTGCCACAGTTACTTCTGGGCGTCAGGAGGAACAATGTTGAGAACCCCCAGGCCAACCACACTTGTGCTTACTTGGAGATGGATCTGCCCTGGTCTGTGCAGCACTGGGGGACCTTTCCTCTGCATGCTCCAACACTGCATATTCTCCTATCTGCTTAGACATAAAAATGCCATTGGCAAGGTCATAGTGGGGGTGACTCTGTGTGGCTGGTCCCACTTACACATGTGCCCCCAGGATGATTTCCCCACTATGTACCAGCAAGTGATTATTTATCTTACCAATCTGCTCACTCTCCAGGCCCAGAGGCGAAAAGGAACAGGACAAAAAGGAAATTTTAGCTCTGCCTCTTTCTAGCTTAATGACCCAGAACAAGTAGCTTAAGCAGTCATGGCTTTCTCATTGGTCCAATGAAAATATCTACCTTTCGGAGTTGTTTAGAGGATTAAATGAGCTAATGTGTATGAAAATACCAAAAGTGCTATCTGACATATAATAGGCTTTCAAGAGATTTCCTTTCCCCCTCCCTCCCTGCCTTCCCTCCCTCCCTCTCTCCCAACCACCCTCCTTCTCTCCCTTCCTCCCTCCCTCTCTCCCTTCCTTTCCTCTGTCCCACCCTCCCTCCCTGCCTTCCCTTCCTTCCCCTCATCTCTCCCACCCTCCCCTCCCTCCCTCCCTCTCTCCCTTCCTCCCTACCCCTATCCCTTCCTCCCTCCCTCTCTCCCT